ATGGTTATAATGAAGTATTTTTTCTTCGAAACGTCTTCGTAAACTGTTCATTTCTTTCTGTATTGTTTCATGATTTTCGATCAATAAATTAATTGGCTCACGAGCACTACGTGTTTGTCATTCCATACGGGTTTATGATGCTCTCAAAGAAGGTTTTGATATTTCAAGTTTTCTTCTAGAAAACCGACTTGATTAAAGCGTATAGCCTAAAGTCCATGTCTGCTGACAACATTTCTAAAACCACTATCGTCACACCTTTGGTGCAGGCATTTCCGCTTAAGAAATGTTGCACAAATATTCTAGAGATTCATAGACGACGTCTTTCGTGGTCTCAACTTCCTACACACATACGTAGATGACTGTTCTGTAAACACTAGGAAATGTCAAATCTGCACTGACTCTCGGGATTTTTTATAATATATTATTGATGCTCAAGGCATCCGACCTCCGAAAAGAAAGTTGGCCACCATCCTGGATTACCCAGAACCGACCGCAATCAAGCAACTACGCACGTTTAACGCTTAGTGAGTTTTTACAGATGGTTCATACCAAATTGCGCGTTCCTTATGAGACCTTTAACCTACTGACTTCGTAAAAATCCGAAATCCACCAATTTGGACGACATTACGAAAGAAGCATTCTCCACAGTTAAGGAACTGACCACCAAAGCAACTTTGCTCGCACACAGGGACACCGAAGCATACATTGGTGTCGCAGTATACGCATCCGACTCGGTAATCAGAGTAGTCTTACAACAGTGGATAAGCAACACCAAGTAATAATTGGCATTCTTTCCGAGACGATTGCTAGACTCCGAATCAAGGTATATTATTTTCGATAGAGACCTCTTAGCCACGTACAGTACTGTACGGCACATTCAACACTCTGTTGGAGGCCATGCATTCACACTTTGAACAGAATACAAACCTCTTAGATGCTCTTTCAGCTCCTTTTCAGACAAGTATTCACCACGTGAGTCTTGACAACTGAACTACATTTCACAATTCACCTCAGACATTCAACACAATTCTGGAACAAACAATGTAGACGCAGACTCCTTGTCTCGCATAACATCCTTGAAAGGTTTTCAAGGAATCGACCTTCTTAAACTCGTTCAGCTTCAAAAAGAAGATATTGACCTTCAGCACGATTTATCCTGAACAACCCTTAAGCTGCGCATCAAACAGATGGGAACAGGTAAGGAAACCTTACTGTGTGACACATCCACAGGTAGGGATCGTCCAATCGTGCCAAAACATTATTGACGCATTGTCTTCAATACATTGCACAAACTTTCTCATCCAGGCGTCCGTGCAACCATCAAGCTTATAGCAGAACGTTTTTGCTGGCCTGGCATGAATAAAGACGTGAGGGAGTGGGCACGCTCGTGTGTAAGCTGTTAAAAATCTAAAGTTATCAGACACAACAAATGTCCCTTAGGCTCATCCAAAACTCCCGATGCTCGTCCCAACCACATTCATCTGGATTTGGTAAGACCTTTAACAGATTCAAATGGATGCTCTTATCTCTTACTCTGTGCAGAACGTTTCACTCGATGGCCAGAAGCAGTACCTATCAAGGACATCACTGCTGAAACATTGGCCCGCGCGTTCGTTGGGCGATGGGTAGCAAACTACGGTTGCCCTTCAACCATCACTAGAGATCGTGGACGCCAGTTCCAATCTGAACCTTTCCGTTGTCTGACCGCACAATTAGGAATCACTCACTTCTGAACGACCGCTTACCACCCACAAGCAAACGGCTTGATAGAGCGCTTTCACCGGCAGCTAAAATTTTCCCTATCGGCTGCAAACATTTCACAGTGGACCGATGACCTAATTGTCTTACTTGGTATCCGCAATGCAGTGAAAGCTGACATCGGATACACTGCAACTCAACTCGTTTGTGGAACGATACTTCATGGATTCTTTGTCTTCTTTTATGAATATGGATCTAAACTCCTACACGAGTAGTCTTACGAACGCAATGCGTTTATTTAGACCTGTTTCCATTCGACCGCAGACAACTGATGTTTTCGTTCAACCTGAGTTACGATATAGTACACACGTTTTCGTTCGTTGAGACTCACATCGACGACCTTTCGAATCAGCATACGAGGGACCTTTCAAAGTTCTTTAACTTATTTCGGCATGCACTTACATAATTTTTTATTTTCCAGGACGGCTAGAAAATACGATAAAAAGAACGATTAAGTTTAGAAGGAACTGAAATCTTCATTACACTTTGTTTCTTTATTACTATATTTTACTTCATGGTCCCTTATAGTAAATAAAGACAACCAAATGCTGCTAAACCTAGCAAGCTATTAGAAGAGTGTTTACCAACGACAAACTCGTTGAGTTTAAACTTCTGACTGGCCACTTCCTAGGGTCATCACCACCCCACTAGAGAGGGGTTGGTCTGTAGCGGTAAATAAATCCCCAAAATAAATAGCTCTGTAAGGTTTCGACATTGGATGCTGACCACATTAGTTTTAACGGACTCACTTTGGGGAAGTGGGCTTATATTTATTAATGAAACCCCAAACTTTTTCGCAATCCTGAAGAGATTTTGCGTCTTTCCCCAAAATTCCCCCTAACTTTGGGGAACGCTAATTTACTTTGGGCATTTCCACACAATTTCCCCAAAGTTGGGAGCTTGGGTATCATAAAAAAAGAGTGGCATAAAAAGCTGGACCTCCTTACTGTGACTTGTCGCAAACTAAAGAGGGAACTAATTTTGATGCAAAGGACATTAAGAAATGAGTTTGGACTTACCATATTCTCTCTTTTTCTTCCCACTAGATCTGGACATCTCAGAGGACATAGCAGGCGAGTTAAAAAACCAAGAACGAACAAAAACCCATGGCATACAGGTTTTCACACTGGGTCATCAACACTTGGAACCTGTTGCCCGAAGCAGTGGTGTCCACACCTTCAATTGATTCACTGAAGAAAAGACTGGACACTTAAAGAAGCATACTAGAAAAGGAATATATTCCTTTGTAATTCCTATGTTATAACATAGGCCATGTGCCTTCAGTCCTTACTGCACAAATCAAAAAACAAAAATGACATATTGAAGTTGTTTGAATGCCACACTTTACAATCTATACTCATGTGATTTCTTTTTACAGATTACAGGGAATCAAATAGCTCATTTTTCTACTCATACAATTTGACACTTGAAGGACGTCAAGTCTTAGCGCATCCGAAACATGACGCTACCGACCCCGTTCCTGATCGTTAGATTGCTTTAATCGCAAACTTGGGTTATATCTTATTGTTATCGATTACTTTTCTGATTAGCTGTAATTGCATTCTATTTACTTACCGGGTCGTCTCACTTTTTCTCCTGTCCTTTCATCCCTACGATTTGAAGTCTTACGCTAACTGACAAAAATGCCTTTCGAGCAAACCTTGCATTGGTAACATTGAAGCCCATTTTTGACCAGTTTGACGATAGGACTTGCCACATAATATTCAACAGTTTTATTTGTCCGCATTTAGAATAGTATTTCCTCCCTCACTCCAAAAGTATAAGGACACTGGAGCGTATCCAACTACGAGCCACGAAATCATTTCGGGGACTCGAATTCAAGCCTTATGAACAGCGCCTCCGATCACTAGACCTTTACTCATTAGAGTATAGGCGTGTTAGAGGTGACCTTCTAGTGGCCTACAGTATCCTTAAAACCTCTGGACATCCTCTTAAACGCTTAAGCTTAGCTCCAACACAAACCTAACGGGTAACACCCAGGAAATAGGAACACAACACAGCAGAACGGACTGTGGACATAACTTTACTCCTTTAGAGTAGTCAAATGCTGGAATTCGCTGCCGACTTAGCCAGTGCAAGCGACTTCTCGGGAGTACTCTAAGAGGCAACTTGACCTATTCTTAAGGACTAGGGATAATGTCTTACTATGATTTACAAATTTTCTCCCCTTTTATCCAGAATATACATAGGTTCCTGCTTGGAGGTATTGATGATCCACTGCTACTAGACACGGAAGCCCGTTAAGTGAAAGCTTCTATTCTGTCCACAACCATTTGAACTATTTATAGATTCGAACACCTCCCTTTCTCATCTAATACGAGGAACCTTCAGGCTAGACACAAGCCTACCGAAGTCTGGCCGTCACATTGCAGCATGTTTTCTTGTTCCACACATCTCGTTCTTAGTTATTGAGAATGCTTCAGTGTAACACTTGAAAACAAGAAAAGATCTAACTGACGGCCTCATAAACCTGATAATATCAGTCAGTCAGTTACAACGTAGCACCAGGCACATACATGCATTGGCCCAAATTGCCATACCTCATTAGTACCGAATTCATAGACTTAGTTACTCCAGTGGTAGCAATATATATATAAAACGATTGTATTTAGAGATATAAAATAGGAAGAAAAAATAAGTTCGTAGAAATAGAGGTATGAAGCATTTTAATCTCATGGGAAGATAAAGAGTGTAATATGGCAACAAACCACCGAATCCCCAGTACTTCTGTCTTTCCTTCCCGTTTTCTGATCGAAAACTGGTTTAGTTAATTAGAACGAAACTTTATGATAAATGTAGGGCTAGTTGCGTCACTGTATCGGTACAAAGCGTAATATAAGAGTTCGATAAAACCTGATTTTTACTATGCACATAAATTCACTTTCCTTCATAGATATATAATATTAATGATAAATATAATTTTAAAAAAACATGCGCAGCGTCTTATATTTGTCATTTACTCATCGACTCCTTCCAACTATCTTAATAAATGCATTTCACCAACATATTCAATCACTTAATTTTCACAAGGTTGTGTTCGCATTTAGGTCTAAAGGTTGACGTGATTTACTAGTCATGGAAAATTGTCTTACTTCCGTTAAGCTACAGACTAATGTTTGCAGTTTGACAAGCTTAATCTCAGTAATAAAATATTCTGTCATTAATCTTTATTTTCATGTTTTTAGATCTCTTCAAATAAATTTTAGCGTTTGATGTAAAATATGGATAAGTCGGTTGAACGTGCTGAAGGGGTTCTCGTTTATAACCCTAAAACTGTACCTCATGGTGCCATACAGTTAAATCCTTCTGATGCACTTGCTCTGCGTCTTCAAATAATCAATTCATGGAACAAACCTCTAGAAGTGTTACCTCTTAAGTTTGGAGGAGAAGCAGTAACAGTAGCTACCTTTTTTTCAAGTTTACTTGTAACTTATCGCTCAAGATCGTTTTTTAATATGTTCACTAGAGTTGGACTTGCTTTGTCTTTGGTTCCATGCGTATTTCTTCCTACTGGCATCGCACACCACTGTTTTACCCGTTTTGTTTCTAATCAAATTCTTGTTGGACCCTCTAATTCAATGTTATATCCTGACTGTAGTATTTGCTTACAAATACGTGAAGCTCTAATAATGGTGAGTTATCCTGTTCATAACCTTAACATAATTATTTTAGAGATATTTCTCCGTTCTTACTTAGCTACATATTTCGTGTTTATGTGTTTCTTGCACGTATAGTTTGTTCTGCTTCTTAGACCAAGTGCTGCCAGTATCTTACTGTCCATATGATTCATTTTCCAAGATATTGATTCAAAATCATAAGTGTAAACACGTACCATCAAGTTTCATTGAAACAAAATTCACATTTAATGGGTTGGCTAAGCAAAACCTGTATCTCCAGGAGATTTTACCTAGTGTTCTAATCGTTCGTGTCCTGTTAACCGTACCAATGAGGTGTGGTTCCTCAGAGTATAATCTTTAATCCCTTGGTTTAGTAAATTAGTTTATAGGTTGAAAAGTAATAACTTTTAAAAGCTGTCACGTTTAATTAATCCCTCTTTTAAAATATGGCAGTGAAATGCCAACTCACAGAGAAATACGTAACCATTGATAAACACAAATTTACTACAGGTCTAACGTTTTCGAATAATTGGTCGATATAACTAAATTAGTTTACTAATTTAAAATCAATCTTCCCTTATTGCAAAACAGGGTTTTTGATATGTTATGATTAATTTTCGGTTGTGAAAGTGATGGATGGAAAGCCAGTTAGTAAGTGATGAACTCTAGTACAAGGTGGTCATGTATAATTTATGGTGACTTGGCAGCTAAACCTAACTCGGTTTGATATTTGGTTGCAACGGATGCTGCAGCCACTTCGCTTACATCAATCAATTCGGGACAATGAATTAGTTGGTCAGTGAAACGTAGGATAAGATTGGTGAAAACCAAGACATGATCAGAGTCCAGGTACACACTGCAAAAATGGCCAGTCTTGTACACAACCACACCAGCGGCAACCGATCTTAATGCGGTTAATTCGAGTCCAGACTTAAGTTATATAGGGAGGACGCCAGGCAGTACATCGCTGATGACTATACCAAAAGTCGGTTCTACCCAGAAACACGTCTGCGGAAAACGATCGCCGTTATCCGACCTGCAACCAACGAGTATCCATTAGCCACCCAGATAACTTTCCTCTGTATCCAGACACCTGACCTTCCAATTCAGATCTCTAGCTAGCACTAAAATATATGTTGGACGCGTTTTACTGCGATCATTTAATTTGTAGCAGAATTGATACTTAGTCGCATCTGTGCTGCAATCTGTCGGAGTGTAGGCAGAGATAACAAGAAATTGTTTTCACATCGATTCTGCCTCACTTTGGTGAAGCCTTCCAATGTAACAGGACATGCACGACTGTTAATGGAGATTCAGTCGGTTATTACTACCTCTACTCTGGCGCTTAGTGCGATTCCAACACAACCACCAGCTAAACCCGATCAAGATGCCACAGGGTCTCCGGTCAAGCGCACGCAAAACAGGTTTTCCGATTCAACAGATGGAGGGTGATTTTGTGGTACCTTTTGAATACGAGTCTCGAATAGACAACAAACGTCAATATTAAGACTTTGCAAGGACATAGCCAAATCTATCTGTTGTTCAATCCGCATTAGTGTGTGAACGTTGAAAATCACTTTGAGTGACATGTAGTTTCCGAAAGGCAGTATCAGTAATCATATCCGGTGGTGGCTTTTAAACATTTGACCAGTCACAGACTTGAGTTCATTTGCACAAGACAATTTTCGCACCATAGACGAGCCGTGAGCGAGTCAAAAACAAATAAAAGTACACTATGGAAATAAAAAGGAGTAGGAGAAGGAAGTAAAGTAAAACGAGATCACTTGAATTAGGTGAGTAATAAATACCTTCTGAATAGGTAGAGAAGCAGATCAAGTAAGTCGATTTCTTCATAATTACTCATTGTCATATTTGGGAGGTCCGTAGTACCCACCAACCCGGTCCAAGCACTGTTTGTCTTCTCATTTCTCTAAACAGCACCTATGCAGCGAGAAGGTGGTAAGTAGAGCTTCTCCAGCTGTGGTCATGTCAGCATTTCGAGATTGAGAGTGAACTGTTTCTTAACTGTACTAGGGCGTTTAGAGTTAAGCTTGTTAACTATTATGTAATGTTTGATGCTTGGTCATGTGAGAGCATTTCGAGAGGGAGAGCGGACTTTCCCCACTCTCGGCCGTACCAGGGCATTTGGGGGCGGTCGAACTGTTGTTTAAACCATATTTTCCGGTGAATATTTAAACCAACTACATCAGACCAAAACGTGTTTGCACGACCTAGTTTCATGTGAAACTCCCGTCTTTTGGTTCACATTTTGTTAGTTTCTCACTGTGCTGACGTAAAGTGTGACATAAAAGAGAAATGGATAGAATCCAATTACTCCTTAATTTGCTCCTTTTTGGAAATTGAAATAATTGGAACGAAATGTATAGTCTACTCAAAGTTATTGTTGTTGTAATGAGTGACAACACAAAACAATAGTATTTATAAACAATAATAATTTACTGTAATCATTTCACCGCGAAAAATGTTTGGCCTACGAATTACTGTTACTATTCCCAATTTCATCTGTTTTACAACGTTGTTCTCATTCTAGATTAGTGTAAAATATCCAACTTATTGTTATACGAGTTCATTGAGAGTTTGTCGCTTATTTTTTCTTCAGAATACGTGTGGATTGGTCCTACCCCTAGGCTTTGGCTTTCTCTCTTCTGCAGCCTCTGCACTTATCACACGATCTTACCCGGTACCTGACCTGTTTGATGTTAAAAGTATGTGGAGAATGTTCAAACTCTATAGTAACTCATTTCGAACTGTTGGCACCTGTTTGCTTTTGGGTCATACAATATTTGGAACAGCATTGGTATACGCTATGATGGATAGTAATCAACGTGTTCTCAGGCAGCAAAAGTTTAGTCCCAGTAGTGATTCATATAATGAATGATTCATTGCAAACTAAATCGAACTTTAGTGCTTGTTGTAAATTGGTTACAATTAAACTAATATAGATTTACTTTACTGCACTAATCTTCTTAACTCTTAATTATATTTGAAAAAGTTATCGATCTAATTTTATCCAAACTACAGGCAGCAAAATGTCAGACGAATACACAAAGGTATTGCATTTCTTTTGCACTGATCATTTTCTAATTTTCTTAATCTCTTTTATACTGAGTACACTTTCCAATATGAGTTAACTTTATTCGAATATTTGTTATGATTAAGACAAGTTTTGCAACAAATATGTGTGGCGTTTTAAGATAACTCATAAGAAACTCAATCTGATCGCATTCATATTGCTTTGTTAACGCCTGGTTGTAACTAGCGCACGAATGACAAGCTTGTGTATTTTGAGATTTATTAATTGTAGTCACAATTGGACTGAAGTATGTCTGTATTTTGTTGGTCAGTGTTGTTTATTTAAAGTTCATCGAAAGTGATATTGTGGTGTGCGCTACTTACGCGGACAGATATTAGTAGTATATGACAGGTTTTTGAAGTGAAATGCATACCAGCAGAGGACTGAAATAAGTTGAAGAGTAAGGAAAACAGAGCAGTCGAAATAACAACAGAATTGGAGGAATGGAGTATGTAAAGGACAACTTAAGGGAAATGTACAATTGATGTATTTAATGTGTGTTTTTCATATTTTACAAAGGCACTGTGTCCTTTTGCATAAAACAAATTGCTTTACCTTACCTGCCTTTTCGTTCACTACAGTATTACCGCCTTATTGCATAATAGTTTTCTTCAATAGTTTTTCCCCCAGTAATATTTTAAGGTTTACTTTAAATAATACTCCATGTTCATTTGCAGTTAGTCAGAATATAGTACAGACCAAATCCCACCAATGTAAATAAAAAGTTATCGTATTGATTAACATTGACTATGATATTTGTTCATGTACTTGAATACAACATTAATCAATAATGTCAAAAACTGCTTATTAGTGTTAATAGTATGCCGACATTTACCACAACCTTAATGTTGAAAATAAGATTATGTAAATCCTTTGTTTGTCTTCATATTGAGTTAGATTTGAATATGTTGCACCATTCCGATCAAGTAAATGCCATGTGCATACATATTTGTCCAATCTTTTCACAGAACTGTTGTTTGAATGGAAATTTAGTCTCACTAATCAACTTTTATCTGAGAAGTAAATTATTGTATCATATTTCGCGCGAATACGGCTCAAAGCTTACTACCTGTACTTGATTACTTAGTCGAATGTTTTGTAACCATCGTAAACAATTTAATTGTATTTGCTGTATCTGGTTTCTACACTGATTATATTGGTTAGCCAATCATCATATCATTCTCATTGCAGAAATATTTTGAATTAACGAAGAAAGTTTACCAACAAGTCACCGTATCATGATATTTATAAGCATGAAAATCATATTGAGTGTGTTGGGGTTTTCTATTTGCTATTTTATCGCTACATAACGCTTGGAAAGTTATTCTAACTATTTATTCATATGGATTTTAAAAGTGATTGGAACTTTTTAAAAATGATGGTTATTTTTCTGTTCAAATGGTTTTATTATCTGAATGACATGTATTAGGTCCTCACCTAGAATTTATTTTAGCTATATATATTGATCAAATGGCCATATTCAAACTAGTTTAAGAAGCCGATTCGAAATAAATAAGTGATAGTTTTATCCCTGTTAATTAGATAACCAGTTAAATAATACTAGATGGTATCGAATGGCAATAAATTCCTCCCCATCCAAAGTAATTAAACAACTACATATAAGGCAAACATTTCACTTATCTTGCAATTTTTGTCACTCCTGGCAACTTGCAGGTTAATTAATTCTCTGAATGGATTTAGAGAGCTAGTTTAGCTTTTGTCATCTTGTGTCAGCTTTCAACAAAGTGGTGAGTACAATGCAACGGTTTGTTCTGTATTACTCTATGATATGGAAACATGGCAACTGAAAGTCAAACGCTCCTCGTTTTTGATCACAGGTGTCTTTAATGCACTGCTCGCATATTGTGGAACAAGATTGAACAATACTATAGTTAGTAGAGAGTATTAGACCAGTATAGCATCTCGTTTGTTGACGTTGTGGGTTTTCATCGACTGAGGTAGTTGGGACATGTGTTATATATGCCCAACCGCGACCCACGTTAAAATGCAATATTAACTGGTGTAGGAGTGAGTTGGTTATGAAATGATTACGCGATAACTATAATATTTCTTGACACGTTTTCTAAAGTCTGGTTTCGCAAGTAGTTTGTCAATCTGATTTACCCATGAGCCAAAAAGCGTCCGATTTCCTAAGTGTGATTTCTGGATTATGTTTCCATTGATTACTTTTTTCTCTACAGATAAATGTAAGCATTGGCGGCTGCAAAAATTGCGTGTCCTGTCTTCATCACTTACTTGAAAAGTATGCTGGTACGTTTATACATATTTTTTAATAAATCCGCAAATATAAAGCCTCTTATCCGATAAAAGATAAAGCAATAGCATTGTGATTGAAGCACTTGGCTGTCAACCAGCAGGTCCCAGGTTTGAACACCATTACGTATATTTCAGTTGGCCAGTATAATTAGTCGTTACACAATGCGTAATTCTAAGCTGGATTCATAATCCTGTACTTAGTAAAGTTGTTATATTACCAGTTATGGAAAATACTTCCTTCAAGCTTCATTATTTTTTATTTTCGACAGAACGGGAGAATAGGCACCCTACATTTCACTGATAAGTACTTCCTTACTCTCCCAATATCACTATTAGTAAAATACGTCAACGTAAAATATTATTCATCACTGTTTTGAATTAAGCAGTTCCATTCAATGAGTTCTTACGTCATTAAAAAAGAGAATAATAAATTTCGTCAACAGTTTATTTTAAAACACAAAATCATTGAATCCAACATTCAGTTTTATGATATAATTTATTTGTAAAGTCCTAATAACTAGAAACACTACACTTTCGACGTTTCGTCATTTAGTGTAATTCACTTCTTCGAAGAATAAAAATAAATAGAAGTTTGAATAGTGCAAAAGGCACAATGTAGGATATTTTCAGTCGTCGAAATTAACATAGGTCTGATCATGGTAATGTTATGTTATTCCGGTGAGATCTAGCCGTGTATATGTTTAATGGGTGTGTTAAATATGATATTTGTAATGTGAAAGAAGAATAGCATCTACAACATAGCAATTTTTGTGCCTTGTTTCATTGAAGAAATTTTCTATCTTGTTTGGTCAAATGACTTGAATAGTTTTAAAATTGTAGCTGCTGGTTATCAATTTTTGAAAAGTAATGTAAAGAGTAAATATTCCTTCAATGTTCACCTTTTCTCCAAACTACGAACGTTGATAACTTACAAAGTACTAGCTCTATCGTTTCAAATGTCATCACGGACACCGATAATGTCTATTTCCACTACATTGTACATGGTAGCGTTCCAATCGCTTGAAGGGTTAAAGAGCGCTATCAGTACACGAAAGGCAACATACTACTATTGTGCGGTTCATGATTTGCATTTCCACAAGAATCAGAAGCCGTATATAAAACTTGTATGTTAGAGAAATGGTCGTAAAATAGTCGTCAAATCCCCACAGCCTATTCGATAGAGATGGTATGTTGGTCAATATTATTATATATTTTCCTGAAGGGCCCCAACAAATGCTTAATGTCCGGCCTTCGTCTATCGTAAATTTGTTGAGGGTTACTGGGCTGTTGTTCGTGGGAAGGCGCATCACAGTCATGAATGCAGTTCCCTAAGGTATGATAACCATTCGTGGATGCTCAGGCGCGAGTGTTCTAGAACTCTAGCTGGACTCTGGAAGTCAGGACTTTTCAAACTATGTATGTGTTTGTGGTGCATTATAATGATGATATCATTTACTTTTGTTCGTGTCACTTGTTAATCTGCACAGTAGAAACACAAATATAAGTGTTCATTTCTATCTAATTATTTCCAGATATAAAGGAATATATAATTAGTTCTGAGGAGAATCTCATATCAATACATCCAGTTTATGTAAAACGAGTGACCAGCCTTTTAAAATTTGTTGGATTGGATATTAAAGATGTCGATAATCATTTATCAGTTTACAGTAAGGACAGTAAAGCCGAGTCAAACGATGACATCTACTTCTTACCGGAGTTAGATGATAACTCACAAGTTGGTTATTCGTCTAATTTTTTTGTCATTTTCGCAGTTAGCTTATTAGATTGCTTTCAGTAATCGTTTTTAGTTGCTACCATCGGGTCCAAGATAAAATTACTTGACCTTTAACTACATGGTTGCAAATGCGAATCCCACTCCACTTGAATGTTCGGTTAGGCAGGTACTATCTCTAGCCTTGACACAAAAGCCGAGTACACAAGTCTGTACGTTTGACTGATCAGTGACTAATATTATGTTTGTTTATTCCTGTAATGCTAATTAGTCAAGTTACAATGCGGCCAATAGTCGAAGTGACTCAACGTCGCCAGATAACACGAAAACTGGGTCTTTGGTTTCCTTCCAACTACCTTCGACCACCTGACATTTCGCAATAACCTACTCAACGTCGAATCACTCAGACTGGTGGCTACGTTGCAACTTGATTGTTATAATTCGGTCAGAGCTAAAATACTACACAAAGGTAACATTTGTCACTACTCAGCAATCAATCAATTATAAATATCTCAGTTTTGTAGCGTGTCAATTAAAGCCCTAAAAGCTGAATGGTAACGTCTCAGGCTGTAAAGCTAGGTAACATGGGTCTAAAACCCACAAGAAGCATCAGTTCCTTCACAACTGAAGGGATGCCTTGTTGACAAGTCCCAACTAATCTGGAGCACAGGTCCAGTGTTTCAAGCTGACGACCACCTGACACGAACATGTGTTTGGTAAGTAGTTCTGTATCAATTAAAAGCAACAGTGGCTGAGTTTCACAAACCATATTTTTTACATTCACTTACCCTGCTTCTGTTTTATGTTCTCGCTACATTCAGGCTAACGGAAACTTACACAAATCGGGGTGTATTTAACCAGCCGAAAGTACTTAATTACGTCTGTTACCCCTCGTGGAGAAGCATAAGCAGCCCACCAACATCTTCCATCCGACCATGTCCTGGGCAATCCTTTCCGATTGCTGTTTGCTCTTTTGATGTCCGCTTCCAATTCCCGACACAATGCATTCCTTGGTCTTCTTTTCCTCTACCCTTCAGGATTCCACGTTAGGGATTGTCTCGTGATGCAGTCTGATGACTTCCGCATTGTATATCCTACCCGCCTCCAACGTCTTTCCTACTTTCTTCTTCAATTGGAAGCTGGTTTATTCTCCACCACATTGGGCTGTTGCTGATGGTATCCGCCCAGTGGACAGTTGTTTATAAATTCTTGTACCTTTTTGATGATGGTTGTAGTAGTTCTCTACGTTTCAGCTCCATACAGTAGAACTGTCTTGAAGTTCGCATTGAGGATTCTGACTTTGGTGTTGGCTGACAGTTGTTTTGAGTTCCATATGTTCTCCAGTTGTAGGTCTGTTCACGACCGATCATTACGGAGTCCAGCCTGTTGGTCTTGAAGTTGGGTGTCTACTGAACCTTCGATCCGGTTGAACAACACTACTGAAAACATGTCCGGGTACTTATAGTATTGTAGTGTCTCTGTATTTCCCACACTTGCTCATATCTCCCTTCTTTGGTATCCTGATTAGTTGACCTTCTCTACAGTCTGTGGGCACTTATTCCTCTTCCCAAATCTTCCTAAATAGAATGTGGAGCATGTTTGCAATCACTTTTATATCTAATTTCAGTGCTTCAGCTAGTATATTGTCAGGTCCTGCTGCCTTCCCACTCTTGATTTGTCTGATGGCCATGCTGATTTCTCCATTCGTTGGTGGAGTGACACCTATGAGAAAGTCTCTGTGTGCTGCTTCCATGTCCCGTGGGTTCAGTAAAGCTGGTCTTGCGGCAAGTGCGTTAATTCATATGTATAAACAGTTTCGTTTAAACTTAAGAGAATACTTTGTTTATTTCACTATCTTTTCAACTTGATGTGGAGTCAACATTAATTACGTATATAGGTTCCAATGATAGTTGGTTGCCACAATAATCATAACCGATCGACATTGTACTAATCTATCAACCAATAAAGAATACATTGAATAATCACGTAATGTGGGATCAAAAATAAATGATTTTGAGGAAAATTAAGTGATAACTGATTCACTGTTAATGCAAAGATTCGAAAACCTCATTTGTATTTGATTTGACATCAAAAAAGTGACCGCTTTACATTCAACGTATTGATATGTAATCCATATCATTATGAGACCGTTATTTGTCGTTAAAATTCAGTAAACTGTGAAAATAATTTACTTAATTTGTTCGAATTTTCAAGTATGATAGACAGCTGACAATTTTATGTCAATAATCTTCAATTAATGGATTCTTAGTTGGTATTTACTCCTATTTATCACCAGGTATTTTAATTTCCTTAATTATTTCACACATTTTCTTTTATCTCGTAAAAAACGACTAGTTCACATAATGCCTATGTTTCATTTGAAGTTATGTCAATTCATTTTTCATCGCAGATCAATTCTATGGCATCTAAACGCAAACGACTAGACGGTCATCTTATTATGAGACGAAACAACCACTGCATTATCGCCTCCGAATTAGTAGCAATACTTCCGCATGAAGTTGAATGTTGTCGACCACATTTAGTACCAGGTTGGTGTGTTGCAGTTCATTCAGAACACCATCTAAGTAAAATAAATCAATATTTACAATCATTTGTTCCACTCCCTGGGGAGCTCAGTCATATTAAACGAATAGACAGTTGCCGATCATATGAAAATAAATCAACTTATGTCTTTTTGCAGATAGCCAAATCAAGGTTTGTGTTGTGAACGTTATCAGCACGTATCAAGTGCCAAATAGTATTTGTTTCTCATGTTGTAATTCACTTACTAACCACTGGTTCATGTGGTCGGTTTCGGGCCCACACTTTATCGCAGCGCTAGTGGTATTACGGGCCTTCTAAATCGAAGTAAATAGAGTGGATTTGGAACCTTGAATTGATTCCTACGTTTTTATTGTATGATGAAGGTATAATTTCGAAAGTGTTAGTTTCGGTATTTCAAAAAAACTAATCATGCTTAACCAATAATTGAGCAGTTGAGGTTCGATCAGGGATGAAAATAGTTCTATGTTCCTTTCGAAAAGCTCTTATGGCTACGTTTTTATAGTCACTGCGGGAAACGTTTTGCGCACTGCATGAGTGTTGGTTACGAGAGGACAAAAAGCGGACGTCTGGTTCTTAAACTCGGTTAGTGGATAAAGATAGTCCGTTCACGAGAGCTGTCAAACCTCCATTCCAAACCTATGGTGCACATGTCAGCTATAACCTTGATGCGATCGGACGGCTTATGAACCTATTGCTAATCACCGGCTACTATGGAATTGGATAATCCGACGTTGTTCCACTGCCCTGTGGATGGGATTCTTGAGTTTGTGGCCCCTAGGGAAACGCTATATGGTACAACATGAGCTGCGAGACAGTATTGCAGCACTCTCAGAAATATGGCAATGAGTAAACATGAAGAAATCGACTTACTTCAGTCAGTCAGTAACAACGTAGAACTTCGTACGTACGTACATCAGTTCGAGTTGCCACACCACATTAGCACAGAGATACACTTGTCGATTCAAATCCCGTAGTGGTAGAGGTAATAAGGGTAGAAGCAGTAATCGGGAAGATTAGGGTTAGGAGATGTTATTTAAAGAGTATAATCCAGTGAAAGAAATTTGGAAAGAGGAAAAAAGGGACATGAAGAATTCAGAAGATTAGAATTTGGGAGAACACAGAGAGTGGATGCACCTGCGCCATTGCAAACGATTTTGAGCCATGTCATTCAGGGTCTCTAACCATCGGTTGCTGTCATCTCGCGGTCCCCAACCAGGTAGTCTACACCTACCAACATGACTCAGTCCACTTGTCAGTGACTTCATGGACTTGTGCCATGTTTTGGTTTGGCCGCCCCTAGCTTTCTTCCAACCTACTCCTATACCACTGAACATAGCACGTCGAGGCAGTCGGTCGTTGGGCATACGTAACACGTGTCCCAGCCATCTCAACTGATGAAGTTTCACTACTTCATCAATTGATTTGCCATCCTTACCTAGTACCCGTTTCCTAACAACTGTGTTACTTACTCGATGGTCCCATGATATACGAGCAATGTTTCGAAGACAACTATGATCAAATACTAGTAACCTACGGATATCCTCTACTCTTACCGGCCATGTTTCACTGCCATAAAGTGGGACGGAACGAACTGCTGCACAGTAAACACGTCCTTTGGTTGATAGACGGATATCTCGCCTACGCCATAAATGACGCAAGTTGGCAAAAGCTAGTCGAGCCTTCTGTATCCGTGCTGGGGTTTCGTCACACACTAAACCACAAGGGCTGATGAGACTTCCAAGATAAGTGAAGCGGTCGACACACTCAACTACTTCACTCCCTATCACTAGTTCGGGTGTCGATGTAACCCAATCGACTTACTTGATCTGCTGCAGAAGAGAGAAAGCCAAAGCCTAGGGGTAGGACCAATCCACACGTATTCTGAAGAAAAAAATAAGCGACAAACTCTCAATGAACTCGTATAACAATAAGTTGGATATTTTACACTAATCTAGAATGAGAACAACGTTGTAAAACAGATGAAATTGGGAATAGTAACAGTAATTCGTAGGCCAAACATTTTTCGCGGTGAAATGATTACAGTAAATTATTATTGTTTATAAATACTATTGTTTTGTGTTGTCACTCATTACAACAACAATAACTTTGAGTAGACTATACATTTCGTTCCAATTATTTCAATTTCCAAAAAGGAGCAAATTAAGGAGTAATTGGATTCTATCCATTTCTCTTTTATGTCACACTTTACGTCAGCACAGTGAGAAACTAACAAAATGTGAACCAAAAGACGGGAGTTTCACATGAAACTAGGTCGTGCAAACACGTTTTGGTCTGATGTAGTTGGTTTAAATATTCACCGGAAAATATGGTTTAAACAACAGTTCGACCATTACAAAACAATTATAACGCTTGTTATAAAATAGAGAGAACAGTAGTTGATGGATTCATTTTTATTTCGTTGGTTCTCGTCAGCTGCTTACAACCTGTGATATTTAAAAATCATAATTACATAATGGGTTTGAATTACTTACATGAAAGAGTTTGATTGGAAGTTTTATTGAAGACATATTCGTATAGTATAGCAAGGGTGTAAATAAATTTTGTAGACTGAATATTGTAAATATATACCTTATGTAAAAGAACATTGTGACAACAGTTCAAACGGCTAGAAACAAGTAAACATTGATACGAATAAAATGAGTAGAGTTCAGTTGATAAAATAAGATTACTAATTTGGAAGATAGTTGAAATAAAACTCAATGATGTGATAAATGCAAGAAAGAGTTTAAAGGAAAAGGAAAAAATATTAAGATACAGCGAAGGAATATTAGTCACCAAGGCAAGGAAAGATTAATAACCATCTCCTTTTGAACACATAAATCAGGTTTTTGGCGTCTGATAGCAACTACTTCAGCAAACTTTAGAAGACTGGAGTTTAGCTGCTTACCAATCACCTTGAATGATTGTAGGGTATCGACCTGATGTCCTGTATCAAGATGTTTGGTGATTGTCCTATTTAAAGTCTTTCTTTCTCTTGTTCTGAGGCTTTTTGGAACATGTTCAAAAAATCCGAGACTGGCCATTTTTGCAGTGCGTACCTGGACTCTGATCATGTCTTGGTTTGCACCAATCTTATCCTACGTTTCACTGACCAACCAATTCATTGTCCTAAATTAATTGATGTAAGCAACATCCGTTGCAACCAAATATCAAACCGAGTTAGGTTTAAGGTTAGCTGTCAATCCACCAGTATATATGAGTATTATCGGCATCTGCATAACTTTGTGAAAATGGCTGCTCACTTATTTTGTGACTTTGGGAAATGTCCGACCTATGAAGATTTTGTTCCTAGAGTCTTTTTCACAATTCGTTGCTTCAAATATTTATATTTATTTACTCATCTTGAGCTGATTTACATATGCCAGAATGTGATCATTTGCAGTTCGTACCAACAACAGGAAGATTAGAACTCCGAGAAAATAAATTAAACGTGATGTTTGTTGTTTGATGATTTCCATATTATTCGAGATTATACCTATTTGGACTTGTGAGCTAAAATCTGGTTTACCTTAGTTGTTAACAAATTCTCTAAAGAGCTAACTCTGCAGTTTGGGGTTCAATGTTTATTAATGTCTCATATTTGGTGTGGTGAACCGATAGTTTGCTATTGCTACTTTCTAGATTATAATGAAGATTCAAATATGTGTGTTTTCTTTTGCCTCCATTTGTTGCAGCTATACATGGCTTGATGCCAATGAAACTTTGAAATCTATGGTCGACTTACTACAATTGAATTCATCCGATCACCAGTTTATTAGCACATCCCCAACACCCTGCTGGATACCACTTCATGCACCAATAACTCGCAAGCATCAGCTCCTCTACTCATTTTCAAATGAATCACAAGAGAAGAGATTTTCATCGTTCAAAAATTCACTTAATGAACCAATTATTTTAGGTTGGCCATCCACTTTACGAGCCTGTCCCGAGCTTGAGGAACTAGTGAATGTTGGACGAAGCTTGTCGTTATCATGTTTCTCAGATTTAGAGCTAAAAAAGTAGGTTGTTTGGTCTTTAGAATTTATATATTGGACATCAATGTATTTATGATACTAATAGTGTACTTATGTGCTAAACGGGTTTCATACTATATTGTTATTACTAAGTTTAGTGTTGTATGATGATGAGACGATGGAGATGTACGAATTATCACTTAGTACCTTTGGTGCCTGGGAAAGTTATGTGTTGTACAATAAAATAAGAGTCCGTTTTTCAATGGAAACTTAATGCCGAGCTCAGTATGCAACTTATGCTGAAATTTGAGTAAAACGCTAGGCGCTTACTTCGGCATTGGCAAACATGCTATGTTAATCTCTCGTTTTAGCAAAGTCCGCGATATTGATTTCTTTAGTGGTGTAAAGTAGACCAAAGACTTCTCATAAGGAACTGTCTTCTACTGGTTAGTTTTCACGTTGTTATATAAAATACAAATACTTGTGTTATCTTTTTCAGGCATTCATTATGGCTCAAACGTGTTTCTACCTTGTCAAAACAAGTGCAAGAACTAAGTGATATACACCCACAATCATGTGCAGGCGTTGATGGTCCGGCTTGTGCAGTCATCATAGTTGATCCAAAATCGAATATTGCATTAGCAGAATCAACTACACCTACGATAACATCAGATATATCTTGGTTAGATCATGCAGCATTACTTGCTGTATCAGCTGTTGCTAAATTAAAACAGAATACAGGAAATCAGTACTCTGATTCTTACTTGTGTACAGGTTTTGATGCATACTTTTCACTTGAACCATGTCTGATGTGTGGTATGGCTCTGCTTCATAATCGCATTCGGCGAGTTTTCTGCTGCCAAAAGCTTGCGGGCGACGGCGCATTTAGTAATACAAGCCGTCTTCACGTGCAGGAACAATTAAACCATCGTTTCCGAGTATTTAGTCCGCCGTAAATGTCTATGGGATTTGTTTTATATCAGCATACTGACAATAAATGAAAAATAAACTACATCTTTTTGTCTTTTTATCAGGGAAGTGATTTCACATCATATGTTGTGGCGCTAACTATGACTAAATATATTCCGTCTCGTTAGTTGCGGACTTCTACTGTATATGCTCGGGCGCATTCAGCTTACAAATCTTTACCATTTTGGCTTATTATAAATGACGATAACATCTAAATTTTATATCAAAAGATCTGTACACTATTTGTGATAATTAAGCATTTTTTTACTTCTCAGAGTTTAACTACTTGAAACCAGCCATGTTAACCAAGTGAACCTTGAAAATGCGAAACTAGCTATCGATTAACATAAATTGTTTGCGACGATTTTAAATATGCCTTTAATTAAAACGAACAAATATTAAGGTTTTGTCCATTCTTCTGCAAACAGTTTGTTAAATATTATGGAATAATCTTGATCTATTTTGTCGTAACAGTTCTTATGTCTGACTTTTGGGGATTAACTGCTACTAGGAAGTCCACTTTTTAACTAAAAGTAGCATTCATGATTAACAAAGACTCAGCAAATTAGTGTTCAGGATACGCTTCCCTTCCTTTGAATTTAAAGTGGTGACGTAAAACTGGTTTGATTTTGCGGCTAGTTTGGCAATAAGTAATTTAGTGTAGTGACAACCTCATTTTTCAGTTTCGTCAAACTCCTCTGAACATGAAGAAACCGTCAATCGGGTTAAGCTGGGGTTAGGTGTAATGAGTTATTTAAGGATACTAGGTCGATTAACAGGGTTAAACTTTCATCGGCTGAAATGCATAGGATATACAAAACATCGCCTACTCGACAAACAATAGTGAGCGTCATAGTGCGCCGGAGACAAGCTGACAGTCCGATCGATGGCCAATCGGGTGCATTTCTTTTTCCTTGATCTAACCTTTTGTTTTGGAATTAGATTTTCAGTCAAACTAGTAAGCATATTTGCCTGTTACATAAATTCAGTCCCATGGTCTGTGTTAGGACCTCCCATAGTAGATAATCTTCACAAAATTCAGTATTGACTTAAATCCAAATTCTTTTACCTACCTGCTACAACAAAGGAAGTTTATAAATTCAGACTAGTTTGTCTTTATCAAGAGTACTAATTTCTCGATCCTGCACGAGTCATGCTGTCTATCCATAGTAATGTTGTGCGAAACATTTACAGGATCGTGGACTAGTAAACCGCTTCTCAAACAGTTACACGGTAACGAACATTAATGCACAAAACGTGTAACAAGTTCATCCAAACGACTTTGTGCCACTAGTCGTGAGGGGATTAGAGAACACAACTCCCAGAAACAAAGTGCGTGGACATCAGCCTAAACTAGTAATCAGTGTCTTAACCACTAAACGAGTGACATGCCGATACGAAAACATTTCTGAACCTATCCTACGGCAACTAATGAGTCTGCAAACTAAAGCTCCTGATATGTATGTATTCTGCATACTGTCACCAGATGAAAAGTTAATGCATAATGGTAAAGAGAATAGAAAGCCACTCTGAAATTCCGCACGAATTCGTGTAAGATACGAAACTCAAATATTCAACTGCGTAATCCTTAGTGAAGTATCATTGGGCCAACGCAGTAATCACTGGAAAATAAGCGGTGTGCATCACTAAAACGTTTATTAAATGTGTTGTACAATCTCGAAATGTCCCAACGAAATATTTTATTTACATATACAAACCAAGTAAACGCCATTATTGCTCAGTCTTAACCTTTTTTGGTGCTCTGAAGAAAAACAATTATATGTAGAATTATAACTTACCGATACTGAGCGGTTACCATAGCGTGACCACGTTCGAATGGTTCAAGAGTAACCTGTTCACGTGGAGTGAATTGTAATTTTCGTAGTGTATCTACTTCCTTTGCAAACACAACCTCAGGAGCAGCAACCGAGTCAATACATGAGGCTTTGATGGATATAACAGCATGACCTCCGTTTTTTAAGTAGTACTCGGCGTTGACCCCCACTATTCTAGACTGATCAGGTTGAGCGACATCAGCAAATATACAATCCACCATACCTAAAACATATTAACCTTTAATATATGCATACCAACAAGCATCCTGTATTTGTGAGGATGTCTAGCATCTTCTATTATTGGAACCACATTTGTTCGATGCTTAGCGACATTCAAAAGATCACGTCCTGAACGATGCGAGAATTCTACAGCATAAACTACTCCATCTGCGCCGACTACATCAGAAACATGAGAGACAGTAGTTCCGCTAGCAGCTCCCAAATACAAAACACGACTCCCTGGCTTGATATGAATCTGATCAAGCCCGTTAACTATGCCTGCTGCTAATTTCGATCGAAATGGATTCCACACTCTGTATTCAATTTTACCACCCGCGTCATCCTCTACGCTGATTCGCTTTTCACCATAAACAGACTCGCCGACGACAACATTTCTCGTTACCAAGCAGTCCTCTTTGCCTTTAGCAACAAAAATACCTTCATGTCTATGAGGCTCTATCAACACTTTTTTCCCTCCTCTCATTCCTCCACGTCCACCCCTCCCTCGAGGTGTCCCCCTATTGAAACCTCCACGACCTCGACCACCAAAGTCACCTCGTCCTCTACCACGTCCACCGAAGTCACCCCCACGTCCACCTCTGAACCCGCCTCTCTCACTGAAACGTCCACCTCTACCTCCACCTCGGCTTTCATCACCAACGCTTTTCTCACCACCGAAACTATGCCTCTGACCACCTCTACCGCGTCCACCTCTAAAATTTCCGCCTGATTCTTTAATATAGGAGTGATGAATTTAACATGAAACTTCAGCTTACCTGGTTTCATCGATACAAAGCACGCTGTTGTAGCGTCCCAGTTGAATTATGTCCAAGGTCAAATGGTTCAAATGGTTGTGGACGGAATAGAAGAAGCTTTCGCTTAACAGGCTTCCGTGTCTAGTAGCAGGGGATCACCAAGTCCTCCAGGCAGGAACCTAAGTATGTTAACAATAAAAGAGGAGAAGAAATTGGTAAATCATAGTGTGATGCTGTCCTTGGTCCTTAAGAATAGGTCAAGTTGCCTCTTGAAGGACTCCTGAGAAGTCGCTTGAACTACCTCGGCCGGCAGCGAATTCCAGCTTTTGACAACTCTTGAGGAGTAGAAGTTGTGCCTACATTCCGTCTTGCTATGTTGTGTTTCCAGTTTCTGGGTGTTACCCCTTAGGTTATTATTCGAACTAAGCTTAAGTAGGTGTTTAAGAGGATGTCCAGAAGTGTTAAGAATACTATAAGCCATTAATAAATCACCTCAAAGACGTCTACACTCTAATGGGTAAAGGTTTAGTGAATGGAGGCGCTCTTCGTAAGGTTAAGATTTGAGTCCTCGAACTGATTTCGTGGCTCGCCGTTGGATACGCTCCAAAGTGACCTTATCCTTTTGGAGTGAGGGGGGGAGTACTATGTTTCCGTACTCTAAATGGGGACGGATGAAACTATTGAAGATTGTATGGAAAGTTCGTCCGTCAAACTGTCCAAAAATGCGCTTCAACGTTACCAGTACAAGGTTTGCTCGGAAGGCATTTTTGTCACAGTTAGCGTAAGACTTTAAATCATGGGGCATCAGTACTCCTAAATCTTTTTCGACTTGGGATACTACTAGAGAGGAGTTTCCTAAGTTGTAACTGTAGTTTGCGACATGTCGCAGATGGACTACTTTACACTTTGAAGTGTTAAAGGTAAGTCCGTTATCGTCCGCCCAACTTTGAAGTCGAGTCAGATCCTCCTGAAGTGCCTGTATATCGTCTTCGTTGCGTATCTCTCTCCAAAGTTTCACGTCGTCGGCAAAACGTAATAAGTCTGATGTTACCTGTTGAGGAAGATCATTTATGTAGATCATGAAGAGAAGAGGCCCTAGTACTGAGCCCTGGAGGACCCCACTAGGACATTCCATAGCCTGAAAGAAAGTGAAATTAATTAGGTATGAAGTAAGCCAATCGATTAGAGGTGGTTTGATACCTAGTCGTTTGTGCTTATTGATAAGACACAAGTGGTTAACCTTATCAAAAGCTTTTGAGAAATCAAGGTAAATGATACCAACCTTTCCCTTGCAATCGAGGATGCTTGCCCATCTGTCCGCCGCAGTCAGCAGGTTGGTTATACAAGAGTAACCCTTCCTGAAACCATGCTGTTGGGGTGAGAAGAAATTTAAGGACAGTAGATAGTCGTTTAAACCGTCGCATATCAGGGACTCCATGAGTTTTGAAGGTAATGACAGAAGAACCACCGGCCGATAACTTGAAGGTTCATTGAGTCGACCACCTTTGAAAATTGGTGTGATGTGAGCCAACTTCCAATTTTCCGGTAATTTGCCTCGGCTAAGCGAGTGTGAAAACATCACGCTAAGCGGCGTTGCCAGGATTGAGGCTGCCTCCCTCAGTATGGCAGGATGAACCATATCCGGGCCAGGAGAAGTATCTAGTCTTCGGTGCTGCAATTTCCGGAACACCAAGTCAGCTCTTAGGTTCACTTCGGAGAGTCCTGTGGAATTGCAGATGAAACTGTCGTCAGTAAAGTTGATGTCAGCCGGTTGAAATGTTTGAGAGTAATGTGCCGCCAGAAGGTTAGCGGCGTCGCCATCGTTGTTGGTCGGGCCGTTAAGACCTAGCAGTTGAGAAACTTCTGTTTTGGCTTGACGAAGAGAGGCTGCATAACGGAATAGGCTTCTAGGGTTAGAGGCAAATTTGTCCATAAGCTTTGTCTTGTACTGAAGCCTGTCTTCTCTTATAGCCTTCGTGCATATGTTCCTGATATGTTTATATTGTCTATACGCTCCGTCGTTATCAGTTCGTTTGTATTCCGCCCAACAGTGCCTTTTGCGGCTTAGCAGGCGAAGGGTACGGTTCTTGATTACTGTAGGTGGCTTGCAGCTTTTGGGAACCGTTTGAGGAACTGAATGGTTTGTAGCACATAAGAGCGTGTGCAGTTAGAAGTCCC